ACATTTATCAAAGTTAATTTTTGTTCGCTTTGGTCTTTAAATAGTATGCGAGCCTGATTCTTCTGGCTATTTTCCTCAATTAAGGATATACTCCTCATGGCACTTTGGGAACAACTACAATATTTCTTCGTGATTTTGGCACCTGTGGTACTTGCAAAAAGTTATGGATTATATCTAGACTACTCGGGTAAGAAATGACTTTAATGACTGAATATAAGATCAGAAGTTGGTAGCACTCTTCCCTGTGCGTTGGCTAAGGACCCAATTATCTAATTAAAGACAATCTCATCAATTACTTTAATAACCAATATATTAAATCAAAATTAGTTTTCACATTAATAAAGCCCCGTATACATATGTACGTACAGCTTTCGCCTCACTTTGATAGCTGACTATGAAAACTCAAAGTAGTAAGATTAGCAGCTGTTGCAAATAATTACAATTCTATGAAATATTTTTCTTTGTAACTGATTTTTGCGTAACCCAGCAGAAAATATGTAATTGCTTCTTGTGTGCAGTAATAAACCTTCTGGACTAGTTCAGGGCTATTTCAGGACCATTTTGGGACTTGTTCGTAATAATTTTGGGACAAGTTCACGACTTTTTCGGAATCATTTCGTCCTGAACTATTCCCGAAGTGGTTATGAAAAAGTCGTGTTCCGGTATTGGGGCACATTCTCGTAAAAACTTGGGATTGAATATAACCAGAACTGCATCGTAATTCAGAGGGTTGTGGTTAAATTTTGTTTATAAAATATACGGTTAAATCAAAAATGTATTTCGGTATTTTTTAAGGTACGCCTTTAACAATAAAGTTACATAAATATTTTTCTAAAAAAAGTCGTAAAATGTTTCTGAGATGAAACAAATAAATGTATCAATAGAAATGACACGGTGCACCTGAACCAAGATTAAACGAAAGGTTACCGGACATTGGGCAATCTTGCAAATTTTAAAAGTATATAGTTTCGAGTTTCTAAATGTTCCAAAATGAAAATCATACATACAGGGCTTTTCAAGAAAAGTGACTTTGAAAATTTTTATATATACATATATATTTTTTTAATCTTAAAATTTATTTTTACAGTTCTATTGTGTATAGGTACTTTAGGGTGGTCCAAACAAAGTTAAGTCGAAATTTTAATGCTCTCACCCCCTACGATTGTCCTTTACCGGAAAAAAGTATACCCATAAAAGTGAACTGAAACCCAACGAAAGTTAAATGGCATTTAAATAACAATCTAAAATTAAACTTAAGTGCCATTTAGATATTCATCTGAAATTGGCCCTAGGCGCTTTAAGCGACCTCCTTATTATTTTTTTTTTGATTTCGAAATAGACAAAACAGGCTTTAATTGTTTTGGACCACCCAAATTACGATGAGCCATGAGCACGGCGATTTCTAGGGTGGTTTATTGTGCGTGGCACTTTACTCTATACTTGAAGGCTTTTAATATAAGCTTTTTGTTCCATATTTCGAATGGTTTAAGTGTTTTTACTCCTAGATAAGCGTGCCGTGCTTCTTCTGAGATATTATCTGCTACAGCCGTGTATCGCATGAATCTACGCTTGGAAAATCGTGGGGCAGCTGCCCATTGGTATCGATCTTTTAAAATTCGGCGCCTAAATTTACCAGCTCCAGTTTTTTCCATCTTTAAGTTTTGATCCGAAAGTGTATAAAACTTCATCTCCTGATGTGGTAAGGGTTTCCTATACTCCGGGATTCCTAGAAATAACTAGTTTTAGAGCTAGTGTGTCCTTCATGTGAGTTGTCATGTTTCCGGTTTTTAATTTGGAAGTATTTAGGATCAGTGTTGCCGAACCGTCCCAAGAAAATGTATCACCGAGCAAGCCAAAAATGTATCCAAATTTATCCAACTTTTTTTTTTTTTACGTATCCATCTCACAATTTGTAAAAAAAACCAAACATTTTCATTTTTATGCATAAGTAAGTATAATAAATAGTAACTAATATGTTATATTTGTACCTGTACACTCAAAAGAGTGTGTGTAAAACTACTACTGAAAAGTATCTATTTTTCAACAGGAATCTGTATATATATATATATACATATATATACATATATATATACGTATAAGATGTTCAGGATTTGATTTTGAACTTGAGATCTTTAAAATATATACATAAATATACACATGAAATGTTTAAAGTTGCAAAAATTTTGAAAGTAAAAATACATTTCCTACAAATAATAAACATTAGGGGCTTACATTTACTATATTTTAAACATTTTATGTGTTATTTTGCTCTCTGCGACAAATTTGGTATGTTAAAGTAAACAGGCAGTGTTTAATTTTATTACACGGTGTGCAAATTTGCACACAATAAAAGAGGAAAATGGTTACCTCTCTTAATATGCGCAAATAAACAAAAAAAAAATTTAGAGTGCATTTAAAGACTTTTCAGAAAAATTCATAAAAATTTCCCTAAAAAAATCAAATTTAGTTTTTTAAACAGTGTATTTTAAACTACATTTAGATCTTCTCTCTTTTTAAATTAACAAATGAAAATATGTGATATGAAAGTGATATATTTACTTTATATATATGGTAAAATCTTGCTTAAAGCATCTTTTTTAGCTAATTAAAACAATTGGCTTATTTAACAAAGTATCCACATTTATACTGATCGGAAAAAATAAGTATCCCGAAAAAATTCCTTTAAAAATGTATCCAATTGGATCTATTTAGATCCAAACGGCATCCCTGTTTAGGATACTTAGTGCCGAAAGGATGGCATTCCTCTCTATTACTGAGTGCATCAAGAGTCCATGCCAAGGATGCGTAGGGACTATCGGTCTCACATCCGTGCTAAATGATCACTTTGGCGGAGAGTCCCTATGCTTTCCAAAAACTCGCGTGCAAGCAAAGAAAGCTCTAATCGCATTGTTGACGGTTGCTTCCAAATGTACGTTTCATGCGAGTGTCCAGGTATTTTGCTTCATTTGAAAGACCTAAACTAAATTCTGTCATGAATAATACTTTTCTCCGGGTAAACGGAACCAGAGTCATTGGCGTCACACCATCTTTGTGTAATGAGCAGGGCTTTCCACGTGCGGTTGGAGATCGTTTGCATGGCCAACGCAGACTACCGGATCTTCTGCATAGCCTTGTGTCTCGAAGCCGTGGTCTTTAGGTAGTAAGGGGACTTCGCCTATGACCATAGTTCACAGGAGAAGAGAGTGTACACCCCTTGAAGGCAACCCCTTGTGGCTGTAATAGATTCTTTCGTGCCTCAATGGAAGTACATAATCCAATTCTTGATGATAAAAAGCTCCTGAAATGTCAATGAAAGCACAATGCAGCTATGTTCTTAGACTTCAGGGCCTTTTAAATTTTCCTCGTAAGACTATGAAGGGCAGTCTCAGTGGATTTGCATGATTGATAGGGAAATGTATTAATCCAAGATTTTCTCGATGCCTTTACCGAGAAAAAAAGAGCCGAGGCTGGGATGACGGCATCTGTTCAGGTTAACTTGTCTTCGGTAAAAATACGACTTTAGCCTCCAACTACTGGGAATAGCACAGTAAGAGTGATGCTCTGTATAGTCTAGAGAGGACTGGGGATATATACTACAGTACCAAAATGTATATACATAGGTACTATATGTATATGTACATATGTAACAGTAAAAATAAAAATTATAAAATTATAAAAAATGGAATACAAATTTTGAAAATCACTTTTCTCGAAAAGCCCCGTATGCATGATTTTCACTTTTTGAATTTTTAGAAACTAGAAACAATATGCTTTTAAAATTTGCAAGATTGTGCAAGGTCCGGCAACTTTTCATTTAATCTTGGTTCAGACGCACCGTGATGAAATAAAAAGCCTGATCCCGTACTCAGTCCGAACTTACCATTTTTTATCAGAATTTATCATATTTTATTTGAAATCGATCTCATATCGGCTGTGAGCACATTTTTGTTATTTGACAGTTTCACTTGATTTAGCCAGAGAAGTACGGGGTCAAACATAAGGTTATTTTAATTTGATGTTAAGCGTTCATTGTAGGAAGCACTAGCGGTACTCGCATCTCTGCCAAGCGGGACTTAAGCGAACACCGCGCGAAAGTTCTACGTAAATGGGCCTTAAAAGTGTGTAATGTTTTTAGGCATAATAAGCAATAAAACCGAGCAATGAAAACATGTGAATCAGCTGATTGCAGACACAAAACGTTCTGTTTTCATAGATTAAATTAACAATTTAACCAGCTTAATCGAAATTTTAATTTAATTTATGTCCAAAAATTGGAAACTTCAACGCATTATATTTTTTTTGATGAGGTGGAGCAGTTACTCAAAGAATCGTTCACATGTTAGTTTTTTTTAATTTTCCACTTTTTCTCAAGTTAAACTTTTTATGAAAATATTGTTCGTGTTATAATAATTTAATATAAAACTTAGAAAAATTAAACAAATTTTTATAAAAATTTCGTTCTTTTTGATCTGAATGTAGAATATTTTTGGGTATTTTTGGGTACACAATTTTATTACATGTAATACGTTTTTTATATTTTTTGCTGCCTGTTTTTTCCATATCGCTACCTAAAGGTAAGAAGGTGCCAAGTCCACTTTGTTTGAAAATATAGTTTTTGATGCAGAATGACAGATAATGCGAAACTACATCCATTTTTCACCTTTAGGTAACGATATATAAAGTGCAATAATAAAATGAAAATTGGCGTTGATTTCTTGAAACTATTTTTGTGAACGGTATTGCGCATTTTTTTTACATAAGAAGTGTTTATATGTATGTATGTATGGTTAAAAGGCAAAAATATATATATTATAGATCATCGGGAATTTTAAGCATCTAGAAACTTACATTTTATTATGCTATAAGCCATAAAACTGCATACCCAAAAATATTCTAGAAATACAGAACAACAAGTTGGAAATTTCGATGAAAAGGTGTTCATTATTTACCTACAAACTCATAAACTATAACTCCATTTTTTTATTTTATTTTTTTTACAGAAAACATTGAATATGTTCAGCCACAGGAGGGATATAATATTTTATTGCAATGCGATATCAAAGGCTTAGTAAATGGGGGAAATGTTGAAGGAACCAAGATTTACTGGTATTTTAAGGTAGGAGCATATTTAATTGTAAAAATTTGGGATTTTCCGAAAAAAGTTTTTTTTTTATATCTACATACATATGTACATACACATGTATAAAAATATAATACCTGCTTGTCAATACATACATCAATGAATTAAACAATGCTTGCAGCAATGCCGTGAAAAAACTGTGGACGGTGATCGCCATCACGATTGGTTGCAGCTTCCGTGTGAGGAAAACTTCTGCAAATCTGATTTGTTACTCCGCAATGTCACCGAAGAGTATTCTGGCTTATATAAATGCGCAGTAATTCCGTTAGAGCCCAGATCTGACAAAGTGCATGCTCGACTTTTTCAACTCGAAGTAAGAAGTAAGTAGACGGTTATAAACAGGGCTGGCAAAAATATGCCAAACAAAAAACTGAAAATAAGCGCAAAAAAAAAAATTCGATAAATTGCCAAAATATCCAATTAAATTTGAATAAAACTACTTTCCACATCCGTAGATGTAGTTGGACACAATTTACAAAAACCTAGGCCCCTAAATGAGTTGCATTCGATCTTCGACAGTGGTCGAAAGTGCTGAATGAACGAATTTTCATTTGGTATTATGGCGCTCAGTCGATGAAGGATAGCGCTATTGTGCATTTCGCTCGTTTTAGCTGAAATACAATGCCGGCGAACGGCGAACTCACCACAGCGAAATTCGCGCTGTCAAAATTAGAACACCCGCAAGCATATGAAATTGAACACAGCCAAAGCGAATGCGAAGTTCGCTTGGCGGCGTTTCATGGCGATAGATTTATTTCTATCGCCCTGCTGGGCGATGACAGCTGTGCGTGCCAAAGGTGGCCGTATTTGTTTTTTGCTTTCAAAGTTTTAAAAGAAAACAACCTAAACACGCCTTTTTTTTGTTGTTTGAAAAATATAGTTGTGGATTAGTTAAATCTGGCTTGAAACAAATTATTTATAATAATCTTTCTTTGTTTTACATTTATATTTGTTATCATTTCCTCATTTCTAAATATGGTTTAGTTTTTTCTAAATATGGTCACCCAAATTATAAAGGCGACCTAATTCTGTTTAAGTACGCGAAATAGCTGGGCGAACGGTGAACGACAGCATCGCCCAATTCGGCGAAGTTTGCCGTTCGCCGGTATTGTATTTCAAGCATTTAGGTGTTTCACAATAGAATATTTTTCACCGCTGAGAAGCTTTGTTTACAAATCGAGCAAACTAAATAGTAGTGGTATTCATCTAAACCGACAACTTCATCAAGCAGATAATCTTATAAGGTATACGCATTCTGTTATATGAACGACCAACACTCTCTTTTCGTTTACACATGCGACAATAGGCGTGTTTTCTTTGGTTAAAGAGCACAGTATCACTAATTTTATACTAACTTTAACTAGCTCGCTAAATGGGAAAAATTATATTTAAGAGATAATATCTATTTAAATAAATACATATACATATAACATAAAGGCTTTTTATTTGAAGCAAGTTGAAAGAAACAATGGCAGAATGTCTGTTTGTGTATGAATTCATATGCTACGATTACTTTAATTGTAATCATAATATTTTTAGGATTATAATAAAAGTATTCGTAATTGTAATCTTAAAATTTTTAGGATTACAATTACGATATTCGTAATCATGTTTTTCATGATTACTATTACAGTAATGATAGTCCTTAAATTTTTAATATTACAGTTATTATTATTGTAATTTGTGTATTTATGATTATAATTAAAGTAATCGTAATCGCATATAATTTAAGGATTAGAAGTAAGCAATCGTAATTAAAATGTAATCGTAATCGGAAACTACTCAGCTCTGCCCTGTGCGACACGCCCTAACCGACTTCAATCGGGACCAAAATGTATATGTGATATCTTCGACTATAGTAGCAGCGACGTAGGAATCACCCTAAAATACTTATGTACCAAATATATAAGTTATATAGAAATGCTCCATCTCACATCGTCGCTGAAATGCAAAAAAGCTGCAACTGACTAAAATTTTTTATTGCATTAAACGATGTGGGGACTTATAATTCGCTGAATGCATAATAATCAATCAAGTATTCAATTTTGAAAATCGAGGGAAATGTGCCAAGCAGAAAATAAATAGCCAAATGAACCATCTATTTTTTGCAAATTTTACGTTCTCATACTTCCATGGATATTTTGTCTTTTTGAGACAAAATTCTGACGATTTTTGCTGCTGTATAATTTTGTTGGGAGAATAAGAGTACACACCTATTATCAAAGAAAAAAGCGTTCCGAATCGGAACTTCCGATATATTGATTTTTAGTTGCGTTAAAATTAAAAAAATATTGTAAATCCTTAGTTAATGCAACTTCTGGTAATAGGTCTGATACCGTACATTGTCGGAAGTTGCCATTTTTACCATATTTTACTTGAAATTGATCCCATACTTGTTTTGAGCAACAGTTTTACTTTCTATATTTAGACCGAGAAGTACGGGATCAGGCGCGGCGAAAAACTCCTATTAAATACTCCAAAGTGGAGCATTATAAATACGTACATACATATTACATTTGCATGAAACATTAAAATTGAAATCAAATATTTGCTCTTCTCCACAGATAAAAGCATGGTGGTACCCAAATTTATTGAACCTCATCCTTTGAATAAAAGTGCAAGTACCGGCGAGCAGGCAGTATTCCATTGTCGTGTGCAAAGCGAAGAGCATCCGACCATAAAGTGGTTTCGCCGCTTGACTACAACCAATTCCGTTGGTTTGGTGTATACCGGCCGTATTGGCAAAAGTGGAGTCAATCCTAAGCCCAACTTCCAAACTATCAATTATAATGGTAACACCTATGAATTATTATACACGGCGCTTGAGAAATATATTGGAGACGACATTTACCTTAGCAAGTTGATTTTGAACGGTGTGCGTCGGCAAGATGAGGGCTTCTATGCTTGTGCGGCAATTAACTTCCATGGGTATAACATAAGTGAAGCTTACCTGAAAGTTGATAACAAGAAAATTGTGGAATATTGGACGGATTACAATAACAATGGAGCAGCTTATACTGATCGACGCGAATTCTGGATCCTCTTTCTTATGCCATTGGGGTTGGCTATGTTTCCGCTAGTAGTCTGGCTCAGTTACTTGGCTTACAAGAGGCGTTTGGCACGCAGCGAAGCAAAAAAAAAATCACCTACCTATTCCGATGAGCTCTCGGAAGGGGACCGTTGTGTGTTGAGGACGTAGATTTAGTTATATAAGAGGGAGGCAAACTAACTGACCGAAATGAGAGACATTTTAATCAATTCAAGCCAGAACAATAATTGAACAAAATGTACATACATATTTATTAGTATTTTTACGAACTTTTGTAGCTGTTTCATAGGTCCTACCCTGGATATGATTTTACTAGGGGCCGAAAATAACAGTTTTTTTCGATGTTATAAAAGTTCGGGGCAACATATCGTCGTAGAAGAAAGTTATACTTTGATCCCAGGGCCTCAATCCCTTATTCCTTTTATTTTTCGAACGTTTTAGGAATAAGTGAAATAATAACTGAAAAATCCGGACTTTCATATTTTTTTAGTTCACAGTTAAACTTGGCCAACTATTTTTTAAGGCCGAAATAAAAGTCCTTGCTAGTATAAACAAACCGCTTATCCAAATTAAACAAATTTGGTACCATATGAAAGAGGACTGAACGAGCTTTTAAACAGAAATGTTACCACCTATTTATATTTATTTTTTATAATTTAATGCAAAATAAATTCACTTACCTGACCTAAGGTTTGTTCTATGGTAAAAAAATAATTAATTGAAATATTTTACAATAGGGGGAATTCCCAGAAAATGTATGCACAACGCATGTTTCAATAATTAAAGGTTTGCTCAATAATATTTTCCCCAAATTTTCAAACCTTTCAATCACAATTTTGGTATGCAGTTTTGTAGACCATTCAATTCTAGTATAATGAAGTGCAAGTTTCAAACTGCTATAAAATCCCGTTAGTTTTTAGCAATTTTATTCAATTTCAATTTTCGGACATACTTTTGTATGGAAAAACGTAAAACTCGTTTTTGTGAGCTGTCTGCAAATGTTTTTTGATGTTGTCTGTCGCTTCACCTGAACATATGAAAAGAAATTCCAAATAATCGGCAGGGAATCGGCGGAAAAAGGCCGATGCCGATGCTCAATTTTGTGCCGATATTAGCCGATGCCGATTAATCGGTTGGACTCTAGTTTTTAGTTGTGTTTGTTTAACAATTATCCAGTAACTTGCCAGCAACTCTCCAGTAACTTCATTTCACAGATTCGCTCTTAAACCTCTTTTTTTTCAACCATATTACATATTTAATCTATCTTGTCAATTTACCTTAACTGCAGTTTTCAAACAGGTGGCAACTCTCTAATTTTTGTGTTTGCTTAAAAATTACTTGTTCTTTAGTAACTATAATGTACAGACATCGGCCTGTTACAATTTCATTACGTATTTGTATAGACTGTTTTTGCTTACGCGTAAAAGCACATTTAGCGTATTTGGCTCTAAATGCACATTTATCCATACGAAATTCGTCACCTATTTAAATGCAACTAAATGCAACTCCAGTTCTGCATTAAAAATATAAATGCCAAAAGCAACCCTATGATCTTCAAAAATTTCCACGATTCGAACATGGTTTAATGAGAAAAAGTGACAACATTGCTTTTTCGGATATATAGTTGTTAGCTGCGCTTCAGTGATCGCCGATCGGGATTTCATTTATTATTGTACATTATTTGGATAAAGAATAGTTACGCAAATTCCACATCGATGTGATGTTGATAGAAATCTGGATCAATTTGTGTTCAACTATGTTGGTTTTGTTTCCTAATTAAATGAGGAAGTTTTAATTGACAGCACCGACAAATGAATATATACACAAACAAATTTTCGGTTATGGTCACGAACAATTAAAGTTTTTGTTTTGAATTTTTCGTTAAAAATTCCTTTTTTTCCTTTTCAGTAGGGGTTTTTGCACGTTATCTTCTCCGTGCGAATTGATCGTGATAGATACGGATCTGAATAAGCGATTTGCTAAATGCGATATCATGAACGCTCTCGAAAACATAAATATGTTCGAAAGTGCTAAATGTTGCATTTTAAATGCATTAAAAATGCATTTCATTCTTTTATATGTATGTGCATTAGGGTGCTCTAAAATAAGTAAAGTGGGAATTTTAATGCTGTCACCCCCTAGGATTGTTGTACCCCTTTACTTGCCGGAGAATAGGTACCCCATGTGTTTAATCAGGGCAATAATCTATCTACTTGCCAAATTTCAAGTAAATCGGATCATGAATACGATTTTTTCGAAAAGATCAGTCCGTGGTCCAGCTACAGGATTTTTTTTTTGCCCTTGTTATTATGGTTGCTGAAAGCTATTTATATTCAGAATTTCATGAAAATCAGAGCCGTCGTTCGCGATATTACCTCTTAACTCGGTTCACTAATTTTAACACAAAAAGCTTAACTTAGAGGCAAATTACTACATTCATAATTGAATTTGGGGATACGCTTTCCCTAATGCTGACTACGCACAAGGCAACCGTTGAAAAAATCAGGGCATGATGCTTCCACCGTTGCCTCGTGTGTATCACGAAACTCAAAATATTTTGATATTTTGTGTTGGTGCCGTGACGGTTGCCTCGCGTGTTTCGTTGTGTATTGAGTTTATTGGATTATGGCGTTTTCATTTCTATAAAAAATGTTGCTTTCTCGTCGCCCTTTTTTAGTGTTTGTGCGTATAAGGCAAAGAGAAGGTTGCATTTTTCGGTAGAAACGAAATCGTCCTTAGTTCATTGAAAACAGTTGAGCTGAAAAGGTATTTTGGTAGAACACAAAATTTTCTTCCGTATGTTCATTACATAACAGAGCACACACTACTGAGGTTGCCGCAATGGTTGCCTCGTGTACATTGAACAAGAGAAATAGGTTGCGTCAACACGTTGCTTCAACGGTGGCCCCGTGTGTAGTCAGCATAACCCTTAAAATATGGACTGGCTTTTAAACTTTTTCGATCCGCTCTCATGTGCACTCACTTCTGTTGATTGATAGCTTGGCAATCGATCAAAAATAAAAAAAAATATCTTTTCGACATAAGATGCTTTCTAACATTTATTCTTGGAGAGTAGCACGGTTGAAAGCTTTCAAAAAAAACAAAATTTGTAGCAAACAAGTTCAAAATTTTTTTGTCATTGATTTGACTGCTTATCTATTTTATAAATATATATTTATATACTTGTATAAACATTCCTTATTGTGCTACTTGATGATATTGGAAATCTACTTAAATTTCTATTTAATGCGCCAATTTCAAGTGCATATTTTTTATTTACGCATTTGCATCAACGTCGCCAATCAATTGGAGCCGATAGAGGCCCCCGACCAGTTTGAAGCCTAGATTTGAAAGTCATAAAGTCGGGTTAAATGTCAAGAAAACGGAACTCCAATCGGAAAGCGGTTGTGCCATGTCCTAGCATAGAGGAAAGCGAATTAGAATATTACAGTCCGGGTTGTTATTGTATACCGCAGGTGATGCCCAATATTACTCCTTACAAAAGTGCCTACCTCCACGACTACGTACCACAATGGACAGCGACCTGCAATACTGCCACCTATGTGGTGGACACCTACGGACAGGTATATTACCTCAGCGACTTTGAACATCAGATGCAGTCTCCCAGTAACGTGGTCGAAACGGAGATGGCCTACCAAATTCCCAACTATGTTTTTGAACAAGACTGCGAGATAGCAGCTGAAGATGATGGGAGTGAGGCTGTTAGTCCACGTAAACGTGAACGTCTTGAAAACGAAAATGTTGTAGAAGAAGCAGAAGAGGAAGCTTCTGGAGATTCTCAACAGAAATGTTGCAATGAATGTTCAGCCCCTAAATGTACAGTCAACGGACAAGCAAAAACCGATGGCGCTGAGAATGGTTACTATGTGGAAGAGCCAGCTGACATAGAAACTCAAGTTGAACCGAGTAAATGAGCGTAAAAAGAAAATTGTACTTGTTTATTACTTCGTATTCGTCTGTATATTTTGGAACATTTTATTGAATGTGACCATTGTCGATATTTACTAATACATATGTATGTATATGGATTTGTATTAATATGAAACTGCACAAATATTGACTCGTTTGTGGATGGCAGCAGCCGGATCGCTATCGCTAATTTTGATAGCCAAAAATCTCCAAACGAATAGTAGACGCGCCCCTCATACTCTCAGATTTGGTTGATTACACGTTGCAGCTAATACTTTTCCCTGCTGTATGCTTTTAGGCCCCACTGCTTTTCATTAATAGAATTTCAGATTATAGATATCCTATTTTTCGTGGCAAGAAAGGAGACGTACAGTGGTCGAAAAATCGGAAAAATATGAAAATGTTGGAGTTCTACAGTTTTAGCATACCTGCATATGTTTTTAAGGTCGTGAGGTGGAAGATTGTAAACTGATTTTTCTAAGTCTAACATAACGATACTCTGTAGCGCGCGTCTCGCGAGATAAATCATACTGAAACCCTCTGATAATACACACATTCTTTGATTATATGAACGCGACCTGTCAATGACTAGTAGTCTTCAGACCACTCTGACATAAAAATATATACATAGTACGTCAAAGTGATTTATCGATTACATGGTGCTACAAAAATAAAATTGGCTACATACACTCTTTATGCCGTGAGGTGGTAGAACAGGGGCCTGTTTCTGAATCTACAAGTCTTGTATTTAATACAAGTAAATTGCTTGAAAACATTCACCTTTTCACGAGTTTATTGGTGATTTCGGTTCTACCAAAAAATGTCGCCTTTTGATTGCCCCTTTCTCTTTTCGTGTTCGATTCGAAATTAAAGGCAAAGGGTGAAAAAATGTTAAGGGCAACATTTTTTGGTAGAAACGAAATCACCATATGTTTCTCAAAACCAGTGTTGGCAAAAAGTTAATCCGATTAATGATTAAAAATTAACGATTACAAACTTATTCGTGATTAATGATTAAGATTAATTAATCGTAATCATCCATATGATTAATGATTAAAATAAAACTAGAGTGCCAGTTACTGTCGAAATTCGACAGTTTTTCTAGTTTCTAGGAGCCTTGGAAAGGTTTTCTAACTTAACCCGTAACAAAACTTATACGGTACAAATTAACTTACGGGAAAATCTTCTGCTTTGGAACTAAAACCTAACTAAATTTTTTTTTTTAACTTAGAAGGTCTTTGGAGGACTTCGGCAGGACTTGGAATTGACCCGATACATTATAGTTTATCGATAAATTTCAATGATTTGATACATATCGATAGTTCGATGAATTTCGAAAACACTAAAATCCGATAACTCAACAAAATTCGTTAACTCGACCAATTTCGATAACTATGAAACTCGAGTCCTCAAATTTCTATAACTCAAAAATGTAAATTCTTTGGACACCTTTATAAATTTTTACTTTCAACAGCTCCACATTTTTCGAAAGCTATCGAAAAATTTTGATAAGTCGTTTTACTCTTTTAACACGATAAAATTCGATAAGCAGTGATAAATCGATAAGCTTATAAATCCTTGAAATTTCGATAAATCGATATATTTTTAAAATTCCATAAACTTCGATTCGATGAATCCACCAACTCTGTAAGTTGAAAGAACACCATGCATTACGACAGCTCGATAAATTTCGTTAAGTCTATAATAAATGATAATTCAATAAATATCGATAACTTGATGCATTTCTTTAACTTGGCAAACCTACACGTTTTTATAGCTCAATAACTATCAGTAAATTTCGACAACTAAGTTTCTGTTTCTATAAATTTCGACAACTCAATAAACATTGATCAATTTGAATAATTCGATATGTTTCAATAACTTAATAAGCATGGATAAACTTCAATAATTAAAAGCTTCTATGACTCGATAAATTTCAGTACCTTTTATGGCTGATTTTATTTCGATTCCTATCGGAAAATTTCAATTTAGTTATCCTAATTCTTTTGTACTTCTCATTGTCTCCATTTTCGCCTTTATCTCTATTTTCGTCTTTATCTTCACTTTTGCCTTCATCGTTATCACTTATTTCTTCATCTCCATATTTATCTTTATTTCAAAGTATAATTTCAAATACGAAGTGAAACAAAATGCGAAATAGCTTAAATTGAACAGGTTGCAAAAACAACCATAGACAAATATGGAAATTTTTAAACGACGATTTTCAACCTATTTCGAAACTATAAAAACTCTCCTCATCTACCGAAAGTTACCTTTTAAACGGTGTTTTTGGTTTTGAAATCGGTAAATTTACCTTGGTCTTGATCTTTGTTTTTATCTTTCATATCTTTGCTTTTATCCTTTTCTTTATCTATTCACGTAGATGAGATGAGGTGCGGTGACGTGATAAGATGTGACGTGATTTGATGTGCTGTCATATCCTGTGATGTCATGTCATATAATGTGATGTCGCATCATATGATGTCATGTCACGTAATATCGTGTGATGAGTTGTGATGTCATGTAATGTGATCACATTCCATGTTCCGATTATTATATTGATAACCCTGTCGATAACTGTGTCGATAAAAATACCGATAACAATGCCCATAAACATATGGAAAAATATAACGATTGCAAAATCGATCCATTCGTCGATAAACATCATAATCATCGGTATCGATTATTATACATATCAATATCTATTACTAAATCGATAACAAAATCAAGTATTTAATCGATTATTATACCGATAACAATAGCCATTATTGTATCGATAACAATATCGATTATTATATCGATAACAATATCGATTACAATAGCGGTTATTTATTCAATAACAGTGTCGATAACAATCGAGTTTTATATCGATGAAAACATCGAGTTTTATATCGATAACAATATCGTCCTTTTCTTCATATGTATCTTTATTTTTGCATATTCCTCTTCACCTTTACCTTAAAGTGTTTAAATTTACCTTGATCTTCGTTTTTGGCATCTTTGTTTTTGTTATTGTTATTCTCAAAGCGCCAAACCGCTGAGAACCAACCAACTGCCGCTAAAGAAGTTTCACTTCATAAATTCAAGAAATTTTCTTACTCTTTCAGTTACCCTAATTCTTATTTATCTGTCATTGACTCCATTTTCGTCTTTATCCTCACTTTTACCTTCTTTTTTTAACTTCATCGTTATCATTTCTTTCTTCATCTTCATATTTATCTTTATTTCAAAGCTTAATTTCAAATGCGAAGTGAAACAACATGCGAAACATGTCAAATTGAACATGTTGCAGCAACATCTATACACAAATACGGAAATGTTTAAACGACGGTTTAGGCCGTAATTTTCAACCAATTTTAAAACCATAAAAACTCTGCTCATCTACAGAAAAATGCTTTTCCAATGGTGTTCTTGGTTTGGAAATCGGTTCGGTAGAATCGTATAGCGTATTAATATAAAGATTAGTCGTAGTCGTAAGAAGGTGATTAAGATTAATTAATTTTAATCATGATCGATAATCACAATTAATAAAAATGTGATTGCTAATTGGAGTCTGCCACAGTTGCTTTAAAAATTTGTGTTCAGTAATTATAAAAATATCGTCATCGCAAGGGTATCTATTCTAAATTTTTTCATATAAGAAATATTAGAAATAAACAGTTTAACGCAGATGAATAGTATTACATACACTAAATACACACGAGTATTAAGATAATACCCAAGAGGCATTTCAGTAAATGTTTTTAAAAATAACTTAAAGTAAGTTAGCTACAATAAGCGTTTTTAATGTTAAGTTTATTTAAAGTTTTTTTTTAAATAAATCTTTAATAAGTGTTGAGAGAGAATGTTATAAATCACTTAAGCTTAAAATTGAAATGCAAATGCCAACGCCATGAAGCTGTAAATATAATATTTTTTTCAATTGTAAGTGACGTGTTTACGTTCGTTGAAATATATTTTAATTATAAAATAAAATCAATGTGGTATAAATAGATAGAAATGTCGCGTTTAAAATGTGAAAAAGACAGTGTGTTGTCAAATAATACATACCACACCTTGAAAACTCCACCCCAATTACCGGGCCTAAATCCAATGTGCAAACCTCTACCAGATATTTTGTTTTTTAATTTGGGTTTCTACCATATCTACCGCACAAGTGAAAAAGTTTGTTGATGATGGCTTTCTTTAAAAGCTGAAAACCTTTACTCGAGCCAAATACCACTTTTTCATCTTAAATTGTAATAAAAGTATAGTAAATAACATAAATTTGAATATTACTATTTACTGCTAATTGTTCCAAAACTGGTACTTTTACCTCAAAATATTTTTCTTATCGCAAAAAGGGCGGCAAATTCTGAATTCCCTAGGGTTGACAAATATCCAAGTCCGTCGGTGTACGTGGCGTATGAGTAACACTCTTTCCTGCTATTTGCGCATTTTCATATAACCACTTATTACTTCTTTATTTATCCATCGATTTTCTTTATTATCAGCTTGATTTTTTTTTTTTGTAACAGAACAGGCTTTAACACGGCTTTGAATGTACTAAACGTGCGGTCGACGTGAGTTGATACAAGTGGCGCCCAATTTAAATATGCAACGTTTTACACTTTTATATTATCAGTGATAAGGGCTTTCTCCTCGCGTTAATGTTTTACTTGTGTATATATGGAATCAGGGAATGCTAAATGGTGGACATTCTTAGTCGAATATACTCTATCTCTTTAGCAGAAAAAAAGGAAATTTCCATAAAATCCGTTCTCTGCTTAATACGTTTATAATAACTTTATATTATATACATACTATTTATAACAACATTATTTATATGATTTTATAATATAAATGGAAATTTAAAAAATAATGCATCTCCCAACTTTTTGTTGATGGAGTAAATCAATTTGTGCACTGAACGGCTCATATGTACAGTAGGGTTATGACTTTTTTTATTTGTAAAAGCCTGCGGTGCCATGTGATGCTGCATCGCATATAACTTCGGGAAAGCAACCTAATTTTGTGCAGACTAGTTTCATCAACATTTTTAGCTATGTATATCTTTGTCAAATATGACTCGATTCTTATTGAATATTTAAAGGTGAAATTCTGGGCTATTGTGTCAACACATTTCGTGAAAAAACGATGAAAACTAAGACTTTGACGGCTTTAAGAGCCAAAAATCTGCCCATCCCTGACTTAAAGCATCGGATGCCATTTGCATAATCCATGGAAATTAGGGTAGTGCAAAATTTGTGTGTTAAAAATTATTGCAGTTTCACAAAATTTTACAAACTATAGCCGAAGTTAGTTTGGAGTGAACTACTAGCTATTCTGCATGTATTCTTTAACGTTTTTGTAAAATTTTGGTTATATTAGCATTGCATTTTCTTAAAATTTATCTATTATTGTTCAACTTTTGGACTTTAAAGCTTTATAGTAAGTTTTGTGGCACTATATTTCTTTACATCTATCGATTTCCTGTAATTCTTAAGTGAACTAAGAAGATCGAGCAAAGTAAATTTTGTTTGAGTAAAAACAGATGAATACCATTATCTGCGGCACCTTTTTTATATTTAAACAAACAAAAGAAAAGGAAAATTTAATAGATGACACGTAGAGTAATCGTTTCTAAGTTTCTAACATTTTATGGCAGCACCTAGATGCATTTCAACGCATGAAAATGTAAGAAAGTTGCACGAATTTTGATTTTTAAGAGTAAATATCAAACGCACGCATACGAATACGCATGATATGGAGGTCCGCCTTAACACCTGTATGTGTTTTTGTATTTTGATCTAGAGAGGCTGGGCCAACTTTGGTGCACCGATAGCACTTTAAACCTCCCTACAGACTATTTTAATATTTCATTCAAATTTTTAAGGCTTAAAATATGTTAAAATGTAGGCACTCCATAATTAATTTCATTAAAAATGTAGTTTATCTTATTATTATGCAACTTTACATGCGTGCAAACGTTGCAGCCGCGATATTGGAATCACCTTTCGGCGATTGCTTTATGTAGATGGAAGAAAAGCAACAACACTTTCCACAAAAAAAATTTAACAAGTAATTTTTAGCAAAAAAAAAACCGACTTCAATTCTCATATAAAATATATATATATATATATATATATCTCATGATCCACTGATCCGATCTTAGCCAGACTAGTATGGGACCACCTCAGAGACGCTACCTTTCCGATGCAACAAGAATTATCAAAATCGGTTGACGGTTGACCGAAAGAAAAGCCTGGGACACCCTAATATGCATATGTACTAAATAATTTGCGGCTACACTGTTTAAAATACTAAAATATGTATGCTTACTAGTCATGCTCACACCTAGACGGAAATGAACATATGAATAGTATCTGTGTGTGTAATTAGTGCCTCCGTGCTAACAACGTTCTCTGTGCATCGCTGGTGTCTGCGACAAATCTTTCTCTGTTGTGCTCGCTTACTGAAATAAGTTAAGTCAGTCGGTAGGTTGCTGTCGCTACGCGAAATACAAGTTCCACTTAAAGTACGCGGACTGATACCAAACTTGAGATAAGCAAAATATGTACATACATATATAACAAAAAAGCGATTTCAAAACAAACATAAATAAATTAATGCGATATGTACGTATGTACATGCGTTCGTACATACAAGGTACATTTATTATAAAAAGTGCAAGTTTGTGATGGAAAAGTGCTGAAAAGTGTGATTCCATAAATGTTATGCAAAAAGTATTGAATAAAATATAATACTTACTTACCTACATTTGGATGTGTTTAGGTAGTCTTGTACACCTATAGATATAGAGGTATGTAAATAGAAACAAATTTAAAGAAAACAAATATCACTCATACGCCAAGATGGTCAACGTTGATTGCCAATCGAGACGCAGCACCAAAATTTCAGTGATTATTTTGGGTGGTGCGCTATGCACGGTCATGATGGCTTATTTTGTTTTCGGCGATAACAATGATGAGCAGGGTTTAAGAAATCTACGCATGATTTCAATTGTAAGTACTCGTAGTTTGCAAAAACAAGATAATTTCGACATACATACATATTTATTTAGTATCTAAATATTTACAAAAAATGTCAATAAAATGTGTAATAATTTACTAATGATAATACAAAAATAAACACAAACAGTATGTACATATTTAAATACTATTGTATGTTTATCTGTATAATGTAATGTGTACATTCATACGCGAGCAAGAGAATGTTAAGCTCTGAACACATTGAAAACGACGAGCTACGGACCACAGCTTCCAATTTGTCATCTTCATTATCTAAACGCTTTGTCGATGGCGACATGATTTCTTTGAACGCGGCAGCGACACCATGAATTTGTATGAGTTTGACATAAAAGAAGAGGAAGAACCTGATCTGTCGCCAGAAAAATAGAAATAGATCTAATCTGGCCACAACCACAGCCGTCGCGTAGCCCGGTCGTCGCCAAAATAATTATCTACATAAGAGTACGTGTTAAAATAATTTGACAGCTGTGGTCCGTAGCTCGTCGTTTTCATTGTGTTCGGGCTATTATGCGTCTGCCATGGTCTTACATATATTCTTCTATTTATAGGTTTTTCGGCATGGTGAGAAGACGCCAAGTTCGTTTTATCCCACTGATCCGCATGCCTTGCATGACTGGCCCGGTGGTCTGGGTGCATTAACACAGGTAAGAAGCCTTTGACTGCAAATATGTATGTATGTATATGTTATACGTCTGTATTAGGAATGTTAATCCCGGGAGCCCGGCCTTTTTTAGGGGCCGAAAATCCCGATATTCTCGACAAATTATCCCGGGATTTTCGGGATTTGTAATTTGCACTGATGACAATTTATTTTTATTTTTTTTTTATTTAATAACTAATATTTTTTTATAAACGTCTAGCTCATTATCAGGGAGCGGTTTTTAGGACCTAAAATCCTATAAAAAAGGCAGAATAAAACAACGAAATAGGCTAGGAAAGGCAAAATGAAACAGCGAAATAGGCAGGAAAAGGCACTAGAAATCGCAAAAAGGGCAATAACTAGAAGGTACTGCAAAAAAAAACCGAAAAATAATCAAAAATACATTTAATTTAGAAATGTTTATTTTACAAGTAAAAAGAGAAAAACTATGAACTAGTTTCATTATATGAAAAATTGGTACTTTCGAGTCTTTGACTATTTTCCTCTTTCGAGTTTTTAACTCACGAAACTTTATTCTCTATATTTGTAGTAACATTGAACCACAAAGATGCATTTTGAAGTTTTCAGGCAGCATGCTCATTCGATTTTCGCGAAGAAAAGATTGAAAAAATTCAGTGAAATGTGCTAAGCAGAGAAGTATGGGTATCTAATTAAAAAGGAAATTTTGTAGAATTTGAAGAGATTCAATTTTTTGCTGCATAAGGAATGGTAAGTTTTAAAAATGTCCTTATAAAATTGTTTCCTTGAAATTTCGCAATATCTTTTTTGAAAAAAATTTATGTTTAGGACTTATATAAACTCGATAACATCCTCGAATATCGTCCTCCTAACTTTATCAGCATAAAATTTTTTGTTTAATTCTAAAGAAATTTCCCCTTTCATTTGGTACCCATATTTTTATTCTACATTGCATTGATTTTTTTTTAATAATTTTGGGAAGTAATCGTATCTTTGAAATTACAAAGTCCTTTAAAATAAATCCTGACATCTGAGAGAAAAAATTAAAACGCCGCTTTAAATGAAAAGTAGGTTTCAAACCCATTTATTTATTATTTATTTTATGGTATGAGAGCTTCTCAAACAATATAGAAGCATGGTACAACAATTACAGATATTGTCTTCCCAGAGAGTTTTGCTTCACATCGAAATTCATGCGCCCTTATTTTCTTTTTGACGCAGTTCAGTGTTGATTCTTTTACTTTTATTTGGCTTTGCTTTTTGTTTTCGCTCAATTTAATTTTGGTAATTAAAAAAAAAAAAGAAAAAACGTTTGAAATGAAGTCAGTCATACCAATTTTAAACTTATTTACTAAGCAAATGTTTTTTTTCGGCTTTTGCAAATTAAATAAGCCCTCTGCATGAAGGTTTGTTTAATTAAATACGTGTACATATATGGTATATGGGGTATGGAAATATCCCTTTTCCCTAGCAGTAAACCTTTTAGTGTGGGCAACAATGATGTTTTTCAAATAAGGCAGATCGGAATATGCGCTCTCTGGGAAGACAATACCTGTAATTATTGTACCATGATATAGAAGCAATTTTTTTTTAGAATTAAGTTGTTGAAAAGTAATAAATTTCTAAATTCCGGGAGCAATCACGGAATACCGGTATTGTGATAGTGACATACCGAAAAAGGCCGGGATCGTAAAAAGCGAAAAAATTAACATCTCTAGTGTGTATGTATGCAAGTTCTTAGAGTGATATGCAATTGTTTCTGCTATACACATTTATATACATGCATGAAAATTTGTTTATACCATGTCTTAAAAATTAACCAATCGAAATAGTACAGTAAAATCCGCTTAAGTACCTCACGAAAAATGTGAGCTTTTTGAGGTACTTAGGCGGGTTGGGTAGGTACTTAAAGAACATTACATTAGGAGTGTTTCTTAACTTTTTACAGCTGTTGATAGCAGATTAGCGAAGAGTATAATTTTACGCACAAAGAGATCGAAAGAGGAAAAAGTAAAGAAACGAAAACTAGCAGAAATTTGCAATCACACACACACACATCTTCAAATGCATGCACAAATCCTTACATTCGGCAATATTTAAATGTGTTTTGATAACGATGCACTCATTTTGTTTTATTAAAACGAAGTAAAATAATTTTGCCAACTTTTTCCTTGTGCGTTTTGAACAGCTGCTTCTTAAACATATGACTGCAAATTTCTGTTGGCAGAAATTTCGCCAGCAGAAATTTGCAGCTCTCTCGGTTTTTTATGCTCTCTTTTTGGCTCTCTTCTGCAAATTTGTTGTGTTAAGAAACGCTTTCCAGCAGAATCCAGACATTGTACAACTGGCCCTTAGTGAAGTATACGTATGTAGTTTATTTAAACACATACAAAAAAATAAATAAAGAAATGTTACTGTAATGTTAAAATTATATAGAACACGGAAAAAATTCCTTCAAGTTCAATTAATATCGATTGTGTAGCGCCGCTACTGAATATTAAAATATGTAAATATTATACGAAATTTTAATACAGCACTTAAAAGGGGAAAATTATCAGTAAAATGATAAATGGGGTACGAAAAATTTTGGTAAATTAAGGGGGTTAGGTACTTAAGCGTACTGCTTCATCTTATTTGGAGCCGTAACCGCCTAAGCGATTCTGGCCGAGTTCAACAAAGCACGCCAGTCGTTTCTCTTCTGTGCCAACCGACACCAATTGGAAATTCCAAGTGAAGCAAAGTCCTTCTCCATCGAATTAAAAACTTTCAGTGATGTAGACTCGGCGTCCATTCAAATCACATGGCCAAATCAGCACTTTAATTCGCTGCACTATGTCCATGTCGTAAAGCTCATACGGCTCATTGTTCCATAGTCTGCCGTACATGCCGTAGCCAACACGTAAAGGCCCGTAAATTGTCCTCAAAATCAAGAGCCGCCTCATCGGATATTGTCATTGTCCATGCTTCTGCGCCAGATACACGCACGGGCATGATGAGTGACTTATAGAGTGAAATAAATTACTCTGAAACAAATGCAGCTTTCGAATGTCCGGCTCGTCAATAAGGGCTGCCAACTATCCTTAGCTATGAGGTGCCATATTGGGGATAAAAGTGTGCCAAAAAGCGCCAAATAATAATATGAAAGTGCCAAATAAGATGCCGTTATTTTCAATCGAAGTAAAATTATTTATATCTTTCCCCTTTAAAACAAAAAAAATTAGAAACACTTTTGTTAAACAAAAGTGCAATACCAAAACACAAGGGTGTTGTTCACACTTTCCTGGTTATCTGGTTATGTGGTTGTATTTTTTATTCAGTTTACAATAATAAAATACACTACAGAAAAAAATTTTACCCAGATAAGCGTGAACGACAACAATGAACCCCAATTGTGTGGAATTTAATAGCTAGAAAATTAAGTAAACAAGGGTAAAAAAATGGCCCGATTTTCGCCAAGTTGCCAGACTTGTCATCAATTATTAATAAAAAACTACTTACGTATAAAATAGTTGATTTTCCGACAGCCTATGTATGCATGTAAATATGTACGTATTTATGTATGTTTTTATACCCGAGCGCACTTGTGCACAAGGGTATTATAACTTTGTTCACATAACGGTTGTTTGTAACAGGCAAAACGAATCGAGATAGATATAGACAAATGTATACATAAATGATCAGAATGAAAAGAGAAATCGATTAAGCGGTGACTGTCTGTCCGTCCGTCCGTCCGTCCGTCCGTCCGTCCGTCCGTCCGTCTGTCCGTCTGTGCACACGATAACTCGAGTAAAAATTGAGATATCGTAACGAAACTTGGTACGTGGACTTCTTTTGGGCATAGGACGGATGGTATTGAAAATGGGCGAAATCGGACAATAACCACGCCTACCTCCCATATAACGGTAATTTTCAGAAATACGAAAAGTGCGATATTTTAGTAACTACTGAAGATAATTCACTCAAGATTGATATTTACAATGAGTTTTAGACGAAAAATAAGAATATTAAAAAATTTTGGCAAATGGGCGTAGCCACGCCTACTTATGGTTACATGTGTATATCTTGGTAACCGCTGCATCAATTTATTCCAAACTTGGCACAGTTGTTGGCCCTAGTACAGCTTACTAAATGGCCGAAAATTTTTAAAATCGGACAATAACCACGCCCACATCCCATATAACGGTAATTTAGAAAAATACGAAATCCTCGATAAATCAGTAAATATTAAAGCTAATTTATTCAAAATTGATGGTTGCAACAATTTTTTACCAAGAAATACGCTTATGGTACAATTTTAGAAAATGGGCGTGGCACCGCCCACTTATGATCACATATATGTATCTCGCTAACCGTTCTAGCAATTTGAACCAAACTCGGTATGGTTATTGTGCTTGCCACATAAAAGCAAAGCGTTGAAAATTATTGAAATCGGACTAAAATTACGACCGCTTTTCATATAACGGTATATTTCAGAAATGCTTGAAACTGCAATATTTCGAAATTTAAGGACGCTAATTTACTTAAAATTTATACACCCCGGCTTATCGTGTAGCGATAGCTTTCGGAAAGGTGGAAAACATATATTTAATAATTGCGCCGGGTATTTAATGTTCGGCTCCGCCCGAACTTAGACTTTCTTACTTGTTTTTTCTCACTTTTAGAAAGGCAGTCAACAGGCTTATAACTTGGGTAAAAATTTGCGCATGCGTTACTATCGCTTATTGCCGCCCAACGGTGTCTACACGCAGCAGCAGGTACACGCACTAAGCTCAGCAGCCGAACGTTGTGTTATGAGCGCGCAAAGCGTTTTGGCAGGATTTATGCCCCCTCTGGACCACAACAATGTATTAGTGAGTGCTTTGTCAATTGTTATAAATTCACATTTCACCACATCCCTCTTTTATTTAGCCAATTGCATGGCAACCAGCAGCTGTGAACATAATTCCACGCAGTGAAGATACGGTAGGTTATATTTAAAAAAAAATCTAAGTAAGAGAAATATATTTCGCTGACTTTTTTCTGAGTGTACAAAATAGATAAGTACGTAATTAGTTAAAAAGACAAGCAAAATCTTCAAGAGCACATTGTGGTTTTGAAACCTTGTTAATGAAAAGGTGTCTAATGAAATCGATACAAATAAATTCGCGCACATAAATGTATTTATAGGTATACACAAGGTGTATTAAACGAGGTGTGATTGACAATTCAGTACGCTCTCTTTTAAGGTAATATTATGCCAAAAAAATATAAACAATCGATTAAAAATTCATAAAAAGTTTCTTCAATTTGACTTTATAGGATGGTTCTTCTAAGATCAATCACACTTTGTTGAATACACTGAAAAGGTCAAAATAAATCGTAACATAAGGAAGTTTGTTCAAATTGGGAAATTGGCTGAAGTATTGCAAGTGTTATTAAGTGAATTCACTTTTGGCGTTTTAATAAATCAGTAAAAAGCATATCCTTAAAAAATAATTTTGCACTTGAATTATCTATAACTTAACATTGCTCAATTTAATGCAAACAACTGTTTATTTTTTCAATCCCTTAATATGCTGTCGACTTCCTTATTTAGGTGCGTTTAAACGTATAAGTACCGGTTTTTAGTAAAATATTTACAGTACATTGTTTTAAATATTGAAACAGCAACTGCTGATAGCTTGGCGAACAATATGAGATAGAATATGTTATGAGTAATCAATTGAGAAAGGAGAGGGAATGTAGCAAAATTAAAATTAAGAGTGCGTTTATAAGAATGTGTACCACTGTACCAACTGTCCAGAAAACATACGGACTGACGATTAACAAACCGACGACTATTTTTATGAAAATCGGTACTATTTTCTTTGAAATTAAAATTAAATTATTTTGTAATAAAAATTGCTAAATACATTTTATATTTGTATTAACTTAGGAGCGCTACACTTGCCAAAAATGTGTGTAAACCATTGGAGAATAAAAGTTGAAGAACTAAATGGCATTGCTTATATGTATTATACATATGTCACTATTTACCTGTTGTATCTTATTTATGTATAAATAATTATTATTGGTACAATTCCATTCAACTAACTGTTTCTTTACGTTTACATAGCTCTTGGCACAGAAGAAGCCATGCCTGAAATATGACACAATTCTGCAAAAGTTATATAAAAATCCATCACCCGACGTACGGCAGCTTAACGAAGAAAATGCGGACTTATTTAAATTGCTTTCGAAACACTCGGGCAAGGTGGGTATTATAAGCTCAATATACATATCTACATACGTACATATATATAATATTTACATACTAAATATGTATGAGCTGTGTAGATACAACCCAGTAGAAATAAGTTGCTTGCATACATGAAAGAGTGTTAACGATTTTAGCGACCTGCATTGTTCTTTTAAGCATAATACGAAAATAGAAGGTAGTTTCACTCAATGATTTTAGTCGCAATGTTAGCGATTTGACTTTTGCTGGCATTATGCCATTTCCATCGAAATCAAGCTACCAGGTACAATAAATAAATTATTCTTAACTGCCTCACCAGAATGGTGAGGCTGTGGTATGTAGCAAGAGCTGTCAAAATTTTAATTAAGTTAAAATATTCTGAATGCTCTAAACTGCCAACTGGTGTATTATTTCTGATGTACGTAACTAGCGAAATAGCTGTGGTACTACATTAGCCAGTTAAGAAATTTCAAACAAAAGATTGGAAAATATGCAGAACATATTCATAGATATGATGTACTTTTTTAAAATTCATGAGCCCATTTTCGCGCGGCCAGTGCCGAGTGAATGCAGATCCTACTGATTCAATCATTTTAAAGCTCTGGTACATATTTATGTATGTATACGAGTAGGTATGTATGTATGTACGTATGTTTGTTTCTTATCCATTATTCGATTACATATATGTATGTACTTGTATATGTACACAGAATATTTCTACTCTAATTGATGTCGAAATGCTTTATACCACATTGAAAGTGGAAGCAGAGGCAGGACTGGTGCTACCTGATTGGACTGAAAATATCTATCCTGATAGACTGGAAGCTTTAGCCGCACGCAGCTACTCACTGTACACTGAATCAAATCTAATGAAAAAGGTGAAAGGCGGTGCTTTCTTAGCCGAGATAATTAAAAAGATGGAAAACAAGCGAAGGAAAAATTTAAATCCCGATCGTAAAATATTTCTGTATGCTGGGCATGACATTACACTCGTAAATATTATGAATACTTTAAATATTATGGATCAGACAGAAACACTACCGAGTTATGCTTCGGCATTATCATTCGAACTGCATCATAGCTCATTATATAAGGATGATTTCGAAGTGAAGGTATGTAAGTTTAAAGTATCTATTATAGATATGTACATACATACATATGGGTATTTCCAATCTGACGTTACGTGACGCTCGTATGACAAAATGTTAAAAATTAATAATTGAATAAATAAGTGAATTGATTCTCGAAAGGGTTTTGAGATTTGCACAGCAATTAAATGGCCCCCTATTCAGTGAAAAAAATTACAACTGTTGGTTGTTGCGATTTAAAGATATTAATAGACATAAGCACTGCCGTGACGTTACAAAAAACAAGTGAGTTTTGATTTCGATTACAAAATTGCTAAACTCTGCAAATTAGGCCAGACTATTTGTATAGAAGCTTTTGTAGTAATATTGAAAATGTTTGAAATCTTTTCCGCTTTATGTTAAAAAAATTTCCATTGTAAAGTTTTGTTAAAATTATTCTTGAAAGAATTTTAACGGGAAGAAAACATGCATTTTGTGTCGAACGTACTTTTTATTTTGCGTTTGCGCCACCAACAGTTGCATTTTTTGCAAATCTATGTCTTACTACTAAACATGCCGAATGTGAAGCAAATCAGAGCATAAATAGAGTTTTTCAAAATATCTCGTCCCTGGTACTACCTAACGAGACCATTTTTGGAAAAAATGTGTCTGCTTACATACTTAACCAATATATATTTATTATAAAAAGCAGCCAAATCGGCCTATATAAGTAAGTTAGATAGAGGACTTTCATTTATTTTTTTCGCGGTAGACTTTTCGCTGGAATCACCCATATGTATGCATACATACAAACATACATATTAGTAAAAAAAA